ATCGCGGGACGATCTCCGGCCACCGTAAGCGCGGGCCTGCGGACGGCGAGCATGGGTGGCTCCCCGTCCGACCAGAAACATACCCGAGCGTACGGCGCGTCGCGTTCCGCGCGCGCCTCAAAGAGCCATCAGACCACCACAGATGGGGCCCAATAGGGCCGATGCCGATTCGGAGTCGCGGAGAACCTAACGGGTAACCGGGGCTCCGGCTCGACGTGCAGGAGAAGGAACGGGGTGGTTTTTAGTCAGTAAGAGTCTGACACTCCCTTCCGCCTCACCCAGGCGGGAGCAGTCATTCGATGATTTTCCCCCCTTAAAAAAAAAAAAAAAAAAAAATAGGTACTGGTGATTTGCATAGCTAATGAACGTGTGCGTACATACAAACTTGAGGCTTAAGTAATCGTATCAAGGTATTTAATTAACCCACCCACTTAACTTACCGCCATCATCACCTCATCCCGATAGCACAAATAGCTAAAAACAGATCATCGCCTATCAATAAATGCCAATTATCTCGTTGGCTCCATTCAGATGACCTTGTACCCATGAACTTGCAACCACTGATTACCGAATTACCGGCTCCTCTCGTCTATACTTACCGCGGCAATTTAAATAATAAATATCTTATCTAAATAACACCCAACCATTGTTTTGCCCTCAACGATCATACGTAATGACGTATATTAACTCGCATCACTAATAAAATTAGGCTGGCCGCGTAATTTGACTTAATTTTGCCAGAATCAAGTCTGAATCAAACCTTTTTATACAAATTGTATTTTTCAGAATGAAGAGCTAATTGGGAAACTGAATGTGAGTCAACGTTTTAGTGGTAAAAATGTGTCATTAATATTCATGTTCGATTTTTGCATAAGCTTAGTATAGCGTGACCAAGTATTTGTTGAAGCAAAACGGTTCATTCGTAAATTTAGATTCAGTCAGGTCTAGTAGCTAGATCCTACTGTAGAACCTGTAAATACCAACTATGTCCCCACAACAAAAAGTTAACATTACTAACTAACTGCACAATAATGTAGATACTTAAAGCTTTTTCGACTGTACCTACTTCGTCTAAATTTTGCGAGTTACTTATGTATGACGCTGCATGTATTGCTCTCGCGCCACACAGCCGTCTGAACGGTCGTCGCTATTCTGTGCGTGGTTCCCGAAAACGGGACTATTTTGTTTCCATGAGTTCATTTCGGGGACATCGAGACTCGTAATTATAAAGGGACAGTCCCGTTCAAAACGGGACGTCTGGTCACGTTAGCTTAGTAGGAATTTTCGTCTAAAAATCGCTTAGCGAATGAAGTTCGGAACTTCGACATAATTTAAAATGTTTGCTAGAACGGTTTGGCATCATCTATACTATTTTAATTAAAAGTAGACTAAGAAGTAGAATTTCTGATAAAATTAGTAATTAGTTAGACAAAGAGAAAGAAAGATAAAAAAAAGAAAACATAAACTAAACAATTGGGATCTAAGTTTACAAGTGCTCCGTCAGATATCTGTAGTTCGTACATCTAAATAGTCAATAACTCTTCTACCAAGAAGTCTAATTAGTGAAAGTTTATTTTGAAAAATTGTGTTTTTTTGCGTTTGTGAGAAAAATGAGCAGATACATCTTGATATTAAATATTAATGGATAACTACCTAGCGCTATTTAAGGACATCCGCAACACCAGAGGAGTTTATACAAATGTGTTGGCAGCCTTTTGGGGGTTTTGATATCCAGCCTTCTAGTGGTTTTGGGTACATCCAAGGTGTCTAATATCTCACTCACATCTTGTGAAACAACGCCAGCGTTATTTCACATTACTTTTCTTCAAGTTACCTATTTATACCGGTTTATTAGTACCGATATAATGACCCCTGTTCAAAAGTAATTGTACGTATTTATTTTTAACTCTTTGAACTCTTTCAAGTGGATACTTTTCACCGAACATTTTAAATTTTGAATTTTGGGATGAATTAAGCAATATCCACCATGCAGTGTAACCATGAAAACCTGAAAATATGAAAACAGATACCGAACATTTAGGTATTGCAAATTCTAATAGAACGATGAGCTAAGTAACATCTCTATCAGCAGTGGAGTTAATGATGATTGTATGAGCGATGTTCACAGAGAGACTAATAATTAATCCGCCATATTACTTAATTGTCCCCGCCCCTCCCGTACCCCCGCATCCCTCGCTCGCCACGCTCCACTCACCCTCGTAATTGTACTAAAGTATTTCCGTTACCATAAGTAGATAGAATTTTTGCAATAATTAGTTGTAAGTGTCAGCTACTGGGTGGATCAAGCAAACTGGTAGTGTGTACTAGCTTTATAATTTACGTACCTGTCTCATTAATCAAGTACCTTGGCGCAAATGTAAGCGTAGGTTCGAATTGAACAAGGGTTTCTTCTGAACAAGAGGATTCTGGTTCGAATCGCCGTTTTTCGGGCTTTTGAATCACACCAAAGTCTACTTATTGAATTGTGCCTGTTGTAACTAGTATGATAATAAGGTATGATCCCTACACACCACACGGGACTTATTATGACTAGCAAAATGTAATAGGTTATAGGTAGGTAGGTATAATTTGTTTTACCCAATTTACCTACCTAATTATAATATGCTGTTAGATTATGTGTGTTACCTAATTTAACTTAATTGTTGCCCATGTTATGTGAATGCTTTTGAGGAATCGGTGTTTACAACAATCAAAATTTTCTGCAATGACCGAATGTCAAAATTGCGGACTGCATTGCGGAATACTTATATTAAGTAAAACGGGGGGTCTAACCTAAAATGTGGTTTATTCCGTATATTATGTAGAGGGCTATTGAGGGTAGAGTTATGGTACCTACTACATAACTTTTAGTAGTACCTATTAGATGTTTTTTTAATCATTATTTCATCAATAGAATAGATTTTAAAGCTTTATTATACGTTTTCCAGTATCGATAATCAAATTTTATCTAAGAAGAATTTTATGGATTGAAGGTAGGTAAGGAGTTTGATCAATGATTTATTTCTGATCAACCTTGAATACTTAGAGTAGCGTTCATTTTCTTTTAAAAAACGTGTAAATACCTAGATAAGCTGTCGAGACTAACAAAAAATGGTACTTAGGTACTTACCTACTCAAGTTTTCTGTAGCTGCTATTAATGTAAACAAATTAAAAACCAACGCTAGTTAGGTATTAAAATTTAATGTCCAGTACCTAGGCGAGTATATTATTTTAGATTTCACATGTAAATGGCCGGACGAGGCGTGCAGCGTGCGTGCCGCGGGCGGTGGGCGTGCGCCGATCTTTTGACCAATAGCAAACCAGCAACAAACATACCGAATATTTTACCTTTTTTCAACGGCCAGTTACATTAATTGCTCATTTACATATTTTGACCATTACACGAAAAATACATGGAGTATGTAGGTGTATAGTCACCTACTTATATAGGTCAAGATAAGGTGATTTAGCGGGTTACCTGTATGTGGGTACTTTATTTACTTAGATAGCTATTCTTCTTACCTACAAGAAGACCTAAGAGCAGTGATCAGATACTTGTATCTTAGGGGTGTGGACAGGTGGACACTGAAGATGGCAGAACAATCTAATTGCTCACGCAATAAGTAGATACACTTTGTCGCTTTGTGTTTTTAATTTAGCCCAACTTCAGTGTAGTCTTTAGACTGCCTCGTTAGCCGAGTGGTCGCAAGTGCGACTGCCGGGCAAGGGGTCTCGGTTTCGATTACTCGGGGCAAAGTATTAAGACTGGGTTTTTAAAAATCTCAGTAGTAGCACGGAGTCTGGAAAATGTGCCCGGTATATGGCAATATGCTCACCCCCTATTACATGGGACTAATAACATAAATAGTGAAAAGTGGGTGTTACATTGTACAGTGGCATTAAGTGCCGAAATGTGCACCTCTGCCTATCCCTTCGGTAATATAAAGGCGTGATGTTATGTTATGTTTATGTCAGTCTATTTTTTCGCCATTCAGAAACTGCACTGCTGTACCCTGCACACTGCTACTTCAACTAATTAATCCGCTGGATTGTGAGTCACGACATAGTGACACACTGACTGTAGACTTTCGTTTTGAAGCACTGAGATATGTTAAACGAAAAGATGTGGCGTAATTTATCGAACACTGTCTATCCAACCAAGTTGATTTCGACGATTAACCTCCTTCTCGAAATTTTGCCCCGTTAAACATATCGGGTCAATAATCATCAGGAGTATGTTATATGTTCCACCTCCGGGCTTTCTCAGTGCCCTTCGGCCCGCTGTCAACTTAACTGATCCCATGACAGGTACCTTTATCGCCAAATACGATACCTACTACGTGAAGGGCTATTTTTTTTACACGGCGTCCCCTACACGGCTTGAAGTAACTATCCTCCTCATGTCATTACCTACACTACACTACACGTCACGTCACGTACACTTTTTTTAAGGGGGGAAAATCAACGAATACTGCTCCCGCCTGGATGAGGCGGGAGGGAGAGTCAGACTCTTACTGACTAAAAAACACTCCGTTCCTTCTCCTGCACGTCGAGCCGGAGCCCCGTTAACCCGTTAGGTTCTCCGTGACTCCGAATCGGCATCGGCCCCGTTGGGCCCCATCTGCCATCGTCACGTACACTACCGGGCTACCGGGGCTTCGGCTTAGGAATAGGGTGGATTTTAGTCAGTAATAGTCTGACACTCCCTCCTGCGTCACCCAAAGGGGGCAGAAGTTATTGAATGATTTTCCTCCGTCAAAAAAACATGTTTAGGTGATGATGCGACAAGCATCGTGATTATCAAATTAAAACTTTCCAGGGAAAAACTTGGTGCTCCAAAGAATATATTATTGACCAGTTTTAAATTTACTAATGCTAATTCACTAGAACTCTAGTCAAAGGGTGGTCAAAAGTAAGTACTGCTGTCTATGCCAGAGAGTAACACTTTTGACATGTGACAGATGACGTGACGTTTTATTATCAATCTAATCTGTCACCTGTCTCATTCATTTTATGATTGAGGAATTTTGCTGCTCGTATTGGGCAGTAATTTAATTTTAATTGTCAAATTGGATTATAATATCTCATTGACTCATCAAGTTTCCATAATACCAGTATATAAAATAAGTTATCACAGGAAACTGTGACTCTTATTGATTAGAAGAAAAGTAAACAAGTTTCAATTATTTGTGGGCCCGTAATAAAACCCCAAAAGGTCAGTAAAAAACTAGGCTACATTTAAATACTAGGCTCATTTGAATAACTATTTATCATAGAATATTAACCTTACTCTGTCTACGCGTCGCGGAGAACCTAACTGGTAACCGGGGCTCCGGCTCGATGTGCAATAGAAGGAACGGGGGCGTTTTGGGTTTTTAGTCAGTAAGAGTCTGACACTCCCTCCCGCCTCACCCAGGCGGGAGCAGAAATTCGATGATTTTCCCCCCTTAAAAAAAAACTGTCTACGCATCTTAGATTTTCTGTCATATGCCTTGGTAAACTACTTTACAGATGCAACTAACATCCGACCCAAGGCGTGCTGATAGGGAACGTCGATTCAAACCGCCTCCACCGACTTCTGCTCCAGCTGAAGATCTCACCACAGATTATATGAACATCCTAGGTACTTATTTACTTAAATAAATTATTTGTTATCTTACACCAACCATGACCTACTTTTGATACTAAAATACTCTTTACTGTTTCCAGGTATGGTGTTCTCTATGTGTGGTCTTATGATGCGTCTTAAATGGTGTGCATGGACTGCAGTATTCTGTTCTAGTATTAGTTTTGCTAATTCTAGAGTTTCTGATGATACTAAACAGGTATGTAAAGTAGCAAAGTACATGTATATTTTACTAAACAATTTTCCTTCTATAAGTTTGTAAGTAAGAGTGTGTAGCAAAGATACATAATGGTATAAACAATTTAAATAACTTTGGATAGAAACTCTTGTATCAAAGGTCATCTCATTACTATTTATATAGTACTATCTTTTCAATTTAACTTGTCATATATTTCTTCGTACTTAATTATTAGGTATTGTAAATTTTTCAACTGCCTCATTAACGGAGTTGTCATAATTGCCACTGCCGGCCAAGGGGTCTTGGGTTTGATTCCAGCAAATTTCGATTCGAGTCTTGGGTCCGGGCAAGTTTTACAGGGTTTTTAAAAAATCTTAATAGTAGCATGGAGTCTGAAAATGTGCCCGGTATATTGCAATAGGCTTACCCCCTATTACATGATATTCATAATATAAAAATAGTCAAGAGTGGGTGTTACATTATACAGTGGCATTAAGTGCCATATGTGCATCTCTGCCTATATGTATATATTTTATTATACTTCTAGTATACTACAGAATAGGTAATACAATTACCAGAAAAAAAGTAAAAATGTGTCTTGTTTATCTATTTTGAAACCTATCCATTGCTTATCTATTTTCAAACATAGAATCCAGACAATGTTAATTCAAATAGTTTAAGGAATAATTTTGCAGAAATTACAAAATAGTATTTTTCTTAGGTACATTAAAAACATTGGTGTTAATTTTTTTGTAATTATTTTGTTTCAGATTGTGAGCTCCTTTATGCTGTCAATATCTGCAGTTGTTATGTCATATCTACAAAATCCTGCTCCAATGTCACCCCCATGGGCCGCTCTTACAACATAGTAAATATATTATTTCCTCAAATCATTATATTTATTAAAAATATTACATGTTACATTTCTTCTCATATTATTATGTTTGTTTTATTTCAATGGTATTAGAGTAATAGATAATTTTATTTTAGTATATTTTGTAGTTATCAGAATTATGTACTGAATATTTAGTACAACTAATAGTTTGTTTAATATAATAGTTTGATCCTTATCAAAAAACATCTTGTTGATGAAATAACCGGCCGTTAAGTACCTCAATCATAATCTGATGTACTGGCAGTATGATACGACCTGTGAAATATCAGGCAGGTGCAAGACCAACATGCCTCTGACCTCTGGGCTAGTAATATGTAGTATAATTTTCGATTACAACTTATAAGAGACTAGCTTCTGCCAGCGGCTTCGCCCGCGGTCCCAGGGGTAAAATGCCTATGTATCACTTCAGACCATAATCTACCTCTGTTCCGAATTGCATTCCGGTCCCTTCAGTCGTTTTAATATGACTGAGTAACAAACAAACACATGAACTCACATATTTTCATTTATAATATCGAGTCAAGCTAATTTCAACCATTGGCCTTTCAGTTACAGCGTAATGTCTATGAATGAGTATTGTAAACGTTAGAGTAGACAAATACAATCAGAAATCACCGAATTGCTAAGCTATCGGGAGTTTCACGTGTTATTGTGAGTCAGCCATAAAAGATAGACATATGCTGTCGAGGAATATTTTTTATATAATTTTAAGGAGAATATTTCCGTTATACATGATTTATATGTAGCTTTAACCTATAAGCCAGCACACGTGACGGAAGCTTAAAAAATGGAGTAACTTCTCCCGTTTTCCCAATATTTCCCTTCACTGCTCTGCTCCTATTGATGGTAGCGTAATGAAAAGTATATTATAACCTGCCCAAGAGTATGAAGAATAATTGTGCCAAATTTCGTTAAAATCCATCGAGTAGTTTTTGTTTCCATAACGAACATACAGACAGACAGACAGACAGACAAAAATTTTACTGATTGCATTTTTGGCATCAGTAGCGATCCCTAACCACCCCTTGATAGTTATTTTTTAAATATATTTTATGTACAGAATTGACCTCTCTACAGATTTATTATAAGTAATAGATATATAGATTACAAAGTACAAGTAAACCAGTTGCACCCACTGTTCCCTCACTCAGAATCCGATGGAATAGCACCATGATACGACCATGCATTGAAAAATTAGGTGCAAGACTGACTGTTTTCAGTACTTTCCACATCAACAGTTTCTGTACCTCGGTACAGAGATGATTAACAACTCATGAGTTAATATTTGCCATTTGTTTCCGATAAAACCTATAGCAATTTTTGCCCGCTGAGTGGAAATCGAACACACGATAAGTGCACTAACCGTGCTGATAACTATCGTGTAACTTAGATGATAATTTTGTAAATAATAAATTATTTATTACGATATACAATATTAAAAAATAATAATACTTTGCACAATTTTATCAAAATAGACAATAGTCGTACTAAAACAATCGTATTTGTCTATGGGTTGCAGTGCAGTAAGTCAGGTCAACGTCAAATGTCAAAAATAACTTGCCGGACAGCCGGAGGAAAGAAATTCTTTCTCGCAAGTTACACGCTAACGTGTTTCTATGAATTTCTGTAACTAAAACTATTTAAGTGAAATTGGATAGTAACGGAAATCTGGTTTTGTGGCATTAGTCGTGTTATCTCACCAACACCAGGATTTACAAAAATCAGGTATTTCAAAATTATAATTATTTCCATTAGGTTATCTTGTTTCTAACCACAACAGATGGTAAAATTATAATAAAGCTAGATGCATGTGTCAATTACATAAATAGTAAGTATAATATTGTACTCTCAGTCAGGAACTCTTGAGTCGCATTAGGGTTTTGGCATCACAACACACATTGGGTTTTAGCAATCTTAATAAATATAAGGATTATTTTTAAAGTGGTTCATATTCTACCAATGACTGCTTCTGTGTACAGGAGATTACCGTTTACCACCCCTATTCATACATAGATACTGACCTATTGTTGGTTTATACTTTTATGAAAAATATAATTTATTACTTTATCATTGCAAAATTTATAATACAATGATGAAAAAGTATCTCATGACTTAAACTTATTATAAAAAGATATTAACTTTCTTATTACTCATGTTTGTCTACAGGAGATTGCCTTTTAAAAAAGAAATGTGCCCCTATGAACTCATAGTTTTTCTTTCAGTATATTGGAATAGTATGAAGTATTGGTATTGCACCATTTATTGCATATAGTGATGAAAACATATCTGTGATGTGACCTAAACTTACTATAAACTGATTTGAACCCCCTGTTTTTTAAAGTTGGTTGAATAATATACTTAAATATTCTTCAAAAAACAGTTTTCTCTAAACTACATTAAAATCCATTCAGTGAATCGCGAGATAATCACACACAATATACATACATACAGATCATACTGAGAATTGCCTTCTCTTTTTGGAAATTGGTTAAAAAAGAATAATTTTCTTAATATTCCGATTGAAACTCAGTAATAATTATTTTATAATATTTTCAGAATGCCTCCAAAAAAAGTAGAGGAACCAGAGAAAAAGCCATTAATCGGAAGAGTTGGTACCAACTTGAAAGTTGGTATTGTTGGTGTGCCCAATGTGGGAAAGTCCACATTCTTCAATGTCCTCACCAAAAGTCAAGCAGCAGCTGAGAACTTCCCGTTCTGCACCATTGATCCTAATGAAAATAAGTATCTGACTGAATATTATTTATTTAATAACAAAATATAGTAATAGATTCGTCTGATTAACAAATTAACCACCATGGAGGTCAACAGTTATATTAGCAGTCAAAGCCAATTCGATTTTTATACTAACAAACAACTGATGACTGGGAATATGATTTAAAATATTTTAAATTAAAATAAATATGATTTTAAAATGAATTCAAAAAACCTTCAACAATGATGTAAATATTTTTAAAATACTATTTAACTGCCCGGAGGTTTAAGACGCCCATTTCTCATGCATGAGAGTGCGGGTTCGAAACCTACCAACGGCAAGTACCAATGTGACTTTTTTTGAGTTATATGTACTTTCTAAGATTATTTAGACACCACTGACAAACGGTGAAGGAAAAACATTGTGAGGAAACCTGGACTTATAATTTCTAATTGTAAGTTTGAAATCGCCAACCCGCATTGAGCAAGCATGGTGATTAATAATAATAATAATAATAATAAACACTTTATTGTACACCACTTACAAAAGACACGAACAAGAAAATAGTAGGTAGGTAAAAAAAAAAATAGTTTTGGCATGTTGCACAATGGGCGGCCTTATCGCTTACAGCAATCTCTTCCAGGCAACCTTAGGATGGATAAATAACCGTGAGAGCAGATACCATGTGGGTAGTTCATAGTGTTGAATTAAATACAATGGATATGACAGAACAGTTTAGATACATACATACAATATGTACACACATACATACATGCCTACATACTCATATATACATATATATATACATACACATACATACACAAAATCAGATACATACATACATACATACGGATATGCGGTAGCAGTTACTCTATTGAATCTGTGTTAGATAATGATCTTTTACTTGTCTTTTAAACGAATCCAAAGATTGCGCCCGTCTTATTGATAATGGAAGTGCGTTCCACAGTCGAATGGCTCCTACAACAAAGGATTTGTCATAAAAGGCAGTCGTATGTGTTGGCATCTCCAATCTCAAATTCGCAGTAGACCTCAAGTGTCTTGAATGTGCGTCATGAAGGAACTTAAAACGTTCTTTGAGATAAGAGGGCGTAGCAGGATTGTACAGAATACTGTAAAGAAGTGACAGGATATGCGTATTCCGGCGAAGACGGATAGGAAGCCACTTGAGCTTGTTACGGAAATCCGAGACATGGTCATATTTGCGCAAGCCAAATATGAATCTTATACAGAAATTTTGGAGACGCTCAAGTTTGTCCAGTTGTGCCTCTGTTAGATCAAGGTAGCAGGCATCAGCGTAGTCCAAGATGGGAAGAAGGAGAGATTGAGCAAGCGCAGTTTTAGTGGCGATTGGTAAAAAATTGCGAAGTCTTCTTAAGGACGCCGCCGATGCAAAGATTTTGCGACTCAGTTCTTGAATCTGTGGAGCCCAGGACAAAGTGCTGTCAAAGAGAATACCCAGATTTTTGACAAATTTACTGTACGGGATTGTAGTTCCATCAAACGTGACCGGTGGAATATGCGTCCAGTTAATTCTAGCTATCTGTCTGGGGCTGCCGATAACAATGAGCTGAGTCTTTGCTGGATTCACTTTTAACCCGTAAGTCGAGCTCCAGTTGGATATTGAAGTCAGGTCGGCATTTATCATTTTGACTGCTTCCAAGAGTTCTTCGAGCGGTGCCTGCGCGTAAATCTGCAAATCATCTGCATAAAGGTGGTAGGAAGATAGAAGTTGGTCAGAGATGGAATTAATAAAAGTTGCGAAAAGAAGAGGAGATAAGACGCCACCCTGCGGCACGCCAGCAGCAGCATTAATGCTCTAACCTTCTCCGTGTGAGAAGAGGCTTTGCTCAGCAGTGGGCATTTATAGGCTGTTGATGATTTAACTGCACACTCAAACTTTTTTTTAATGTTTTGGCTAAAAAATTTACATAGTGTTAACTAACTACTAAATCTGACCCATGTAGAAATTGCCCACATAATTAATTTTAGAGCCGGTGGCATAGTCTTTATAAATACCAATGGAATAATTTTTAATAATAATTCAAGTATCTATAGGAAATAACTAAACATTAACGAGAAAAATAACTTTGGTAATAATAAAGTTTAAATAAGATGTGAAATTGTTACCAAAGACGACTTAGGTATGATTCTTACAAGTATTTTTTTTTAAATTCAAATTTTTTGAAAATCTGTAAATCTCACAGTTTAGTAGTCATACAATTCTGGTGTTGACAGATTGTTATTAATCAATCCAACTAATAGATTATTTATGGTTAAAGTTTAAGCTAACACTATACAGTACTCCACTAATATGATATTACCATTGACATATTGTACAAGGATGTGTGTTCTATAACTCAATAATGAACCATAACAAACCTCAATTTCCTCAGCCTAATATTCAAACAATTTGAAAAAAGGAAAACAATCAACTTTTATGAAACTCTGACATGTGACACATGTCAATTTATAATTTTCCTTTTGCATTCTAGCTAAAAGAAATTTGATTTCCTATTTTTATTTACCATAATGATTGAACTTGAGCATTATCAACATAATCTTGATCTCATAGATACTTACAATGTGAAAAACTTTAAAATCAGTAAAGGAATAGTATATACTGGAGATACTGAATATATAAATCCAAAAACAGAAGTGAAGAAACATGTGTCTCCACTGTTGGGTGCTGCAATGTACGGCCTAAACAATACGGCGGCTCCGTTGCCTGAAGATACTAAATTCTTTGATATCTGGTCGGATATTGATGCTCAAGAAATACATTTGAGCAAGAAGCCTACCTGTTACATAATATTTGGAAAGTCTGGATCTGGAGCATATAATTTAGGAGAAGCAATGGCTAAAAAGTTGAACATACTACACTTGTGCCCAAAAAATTTACTAGAGGATGAATTAGCTCAAGATAGTAGCACAGGAAAAACTTGGCATTTTAATATGCGAAACAATAAAGTTTGTCAATTTAATATGATACTGACTATGTTGAAAATTAAAATGCATTCTGAAGTAGTTCAACATCGAGGTTATGTGATATCAGGACTGCCTCTAGTAACCTGCCGTAGAAATCCTCTTTATTGTATAGATTCATTATATAGTGAAGAAGCATTTTTACAAATAGATGAAATATTGTTCGATACAATTCGTAATTTAAACAAAAATAAATCCAAGTCAAGACGTCCAAAATCGTCACCGTCTTCTAAAAGTAGTGAGTTCATAACAGGAGAAGATCAGGAAGACTATGAAGGACAAGAAGAGGAAGAGCATTTGGAAGATCTTAACGCTGAAGAAGCCCTTGAAGAAGAAGACAAACCTGTGGAACTGCCGATATTTGAGCTAAACACTTGTTCCAATATTATTTTTCATGAAAAACCATATATTAAATCGAAACAAGCTGTTATTTTTCAGCAGCTTCAGGAATTATTTAATTTACCGCTCAAACCTGATATTCTTCTACAAATTAATTGTCCTGAAATGGATTTAGTGAAAATGAGATCTTATAGATACCTTAACTACAAAACGGGTCAAAATGCCATCGAACCCTTTGTTTCGAATTACGTCCAAGAACAAACTTGGCCTGATGAATATACCATGGATGACTATGAAAATCCTCATGACATTCATATGTTTCATCCTAAATACAATTGTAAACCACCAGCAAATTTCGAAAAGAAAGTTATTGAACAAGTTTGTAGTTACAGGACTTATGTGTTTCCATATTTGGAAAAAAAATTTAAAGAATTTGATCCCAAAATGATAATTCAATTAGACGGCCGTATGTCGTGTGGTAAAATGCTTCACAATATAATGGAGAGATTAATTTTATTACCTACTCAACCAGTGATTACGCCGACTCCTTTCTCCGATGCGGCACCAGAAGATATGGAAGACTTTTGGGCGTCTATAGAAGAATCAAACGTTATTCGTAGCGACATTGTTAATTTCAAGTACTCTCCTTCTCCCTGGTTTAATAGATGTCCTGTAGAATTAAAACTGAGACGAACAGTGCCAGGGTTACCAAAATATGCGGTTTACTACCTAAAACATGTGTACCTACTATCTTCACGTAATAATTTTATTTCGTTTATTAGGAACCCACGCCCTTATTTAAAAATAAAGTATTTAGAACCAACTTGCAGAATTATAATTCTAGGAACAAAAAGTTCTGGAAAAACCATGGTCGCTAATTGTTTATCGTGGCTTTTTGACGCTCCTATTCTTGATTTCCAAACGATTGTAAATAAAGAAAAAGATAAAATATATATAACGGTGGCTCAACCTATCCTATCGGAAATTATAGCAACTATTGAAGACGCTCGTTTACTAAAATGGCAAGCTGATGAGTCAGAACGAATAGAACAATTTAATAATTGGTGCGAGTACACGTCACAGTTATTAGAACAATATTTGCCTCTACTTGTGAAAAAAACAAAATACGAAAAAATTAAAGCCTACAGACTTGCCAAAAAAGAAAAAGAAAAGAAAGAATACTATGAACTGAGCGAAGAACTGAAAGAAGAAATTGAGCAGGAAGAAGAAGAACAAGAAGAAGAAGTAGTAAGTGATGTAGAATATATGGATGAAGAAATGAATTTGGATTTCTTCGAAGAATTTGACGATCTAAGAACACAGCTTAGTTTTTTACCTATATTAGATAGTGTTCTCGAATGCGAGAGTACTCTTGATGGGCAAAATATTTCACAATATGCACCTATAGAACTGAATACAGAAACAAAAAAACCTTCAATTCCTGTACTTGGTGATGAAGATGTAACTACAGCTATATCAAATTATATTGCTGCAAATGAACTGGAAAGCAGTCTCGAACCAACAGCTGAACAAGTAATGAATGAAATAAACAAGGTACTTACTGAAATAGATAACCAGCGTGCAGAAAAAACACAGTCAGAAGAACTTTATGGGAAGTATATTCTTGATGGTTTTTCACCTGATCCAGAATATTGGTCATACCTTAATGATAAAGTATTCCCAGATTATACGGTAACTTTGATTGAAAATAGGGAAATTGACGAAAAATTATGTGAATATTACATGCAAAGTGACAGCCACAATAAACATTATAACGAAACCATCTTTTCTGCTAAAGATCCACTTCTTCAAACAAAACAGCGAGCTATTAATATATCAAGATTGGAACAGGCCGACATTAAAATAATTTTGTATAATTTGGTAGATGACGTTGTAGGAGCTGAAATAATGCCTAAAATTGAAATAGAATCAGAAAGTGATTTTATTGCGTCTTTTACCGAAGCTATAGAGAAATTTAGAGAAAACTGGGACAGTGCTAAAGTAAATATAGAAGACAGGTCAAAAGTATATATTGAAATAGAGCTTAATAATAAAACTGATGTAGAAATTATCGAAGAAACTTTAATGAAGCTACGTCAGTGTTATCGTCCAACAGGTCAGACACAAGAAGACCAAGAACTTGATGTACCCACGGATGAAGATGAAATCGATGTCCCTCCAAAAGATCTTCTTACTTATAATGACAGCCAATTTTTGTGTGAAACCAATATATACTGCCCAGTAGCTTATTTTAAGTATGGTATACTATGGGAAGGGCAGCCGGAATTTTCTTTGAAGTATGACAACAAAATGCATTATTTTTGTAAAGAGGAATTTTTAGAAATATTTAGTAAAGATGTCACAGAATATCAATACTACAACAACCCGTTTAAAAAAATACCTAGGTTAAAAATTTGTGTAACAGGTCCGGTAGGTTGTGGGACAACATCTGTATCGCGGTTTTTAGCAAAAGAGCTAGGATTGTTACATATTGATTATGTACACTTCCTTACTGAATATTTAATGCCAAAACATTTCAAAAAGGTTGGATTTAAAAACGAAAACATGTTCACTGACGAAATTATTGATGATGAAGGAGTAGTGGAATTTCAAGTAGACGAGGAAGGAGAGAATCAGTCCACTGATGTCTTGTGGAACGAAAAAGAAATGTTACGAATGTTAAATAATCACTTCGAACGCGGTGGTTCTATTTTACCCATACTTATGCAAAAAATGATTCAAAAAATATGGCATGATCCTAGTATGAATATGGGCTTTGTTCTTGATGGTTACCCTAAGTTAGCCAATGATATTGAAGATATGATGACTCATTATGGAATACCTGACATTGTTATAGACTTACAATCTACTGTAGAAGTCTCATTTGATCGACTTGGTCCAGGAATGTTTAAAAAATGGAAAGAACAACAAAATGAAGCTAAAAAGAAAGCTGCAGATAAATTGGACGACGAACGAAAACAATGGATGCACAACATAACAAAAGAAATTGTAGTAAAGCTACTAATCGAAGAAATTTTCGACACTATGTTTGCATTCAAAAGTGAACCGGGTTTAAATGTCCATAGTGCGATAATGGATGCCGACCCTTCAGGAGATATAAACGTTGATCCTTTGCTATTTAAATTATATAATGAAATGGTGCAAGAGTATCCAGAGCCTAGCGATACGAACGTGTGGGAAAGTAATGCTGCAGCTCGTGAAAGAATGCAAGCCAGGTTGGAAGGAATATATGAAACAGAGGATGAAAATTTGCAGTCATTAAAAGAAGCTTTATTGGAACATAAAATTAAGACAGTTACAATTGACGCGACAAAACCGTTACAAAAAGTCATTAGAAACGCATTGACTTCGCTAACACACCTTCGAAATAGAAACGAATCATTTTTTGAACAAACATTTATAGTTTCTCTCGATGTTGCTGAAATGTTACTTTTAAGGGGATTTTACTTTTTGAGCAAATTCAACCGACTTTGCCCCGTTTATATTTTTGAGAATCCGCGGGCTGTTCAAAACTCATATAAAATAAGTAAAGTCCGGGGAACTCTTTATGCCGTTATTCATAGGACTTACATATACTATTTAAGTAACGCAGATAGCGTAATCAAGTTTAGAAATAATCCACTAAAATACATAATTGCTGATGCAGTCAATTCCTACTTCGAATATCCCCTGAGGATTGGTATCATAGGATCACCTAAATCAGGAAAAAGCACATTAGCTGCTCGACTGTCTAAAGAATTTGGTCTGATATGCTTATCAAGAGGAAACTCTGTGAGAAGTGTATTGGAACATATGCATTGGACGGAACTGGCTTGCCAAATGAGGAAGGCTCTTTCAAAAGGCAAGGAAATTGATGATAACCAAATTGTACAATCTATACAAGCACTGGCTATTGATCACCGAACGGAGACTTACGGCTTCGTGACGGATGGTGTCCCTGCCAATCCTTACCGAGCTCAAGGCTATGTCAAAAATGGACTTTATCCTAATATCATTTTCGATATTTGTTCTTCTAAAGAAAAATGTTTAGAGAATTCACAAAACGAAATATATAATGATATTCTGAAACACATGCCACCTTACCCCTGTCCACTTATTGAAATGAGATACGACAGTTGGTCACTAACACAACACAGAATTCGGGATTGGATCGCAGAGGACTATCAAAACCTATATGTTCTTAATGGTACTAATAGCAAGTGGCACGTTTTCAAGCAAGCAATTAATCACCTAACAAAGTTAAATAATAAGATTCATTATTACGTACTTAATATTGATAAGACCATTGTGCACGCTATTTGCATTTCGAATGCGGCTTTCGAAGAACGACAATCCCAGTATAAAACATTATGTCCAGTTTGTTTTCATAAAAAAATATACAAGCACATGGGAACCTTTTTCGGCGGTAAAACGGGTGTTGTTCAATACAAGAATAAATTTTATTGGGTTTGCTCTGAACATATGGAATTAGTAATGTCGTTCCCACATTGTTATTTGACAGATATTGAAATAGAAATTCCTGAATTACCAGCTGTAATCGATATAGTCAATATAGATTATATTTATGAAAATGGAGTTTGCGTTGTAACATACGCTGAAAATTTACCTGCACAAATAATAAATATTGGCACAAACGAATATGCTGCAAGTTACGCTGGAAAAATGTACTTATTCTGTAGTAGGTCATGTCTAAGTAAATTTTTGTGTAAACCATACTTGTATAACGACATTACTATTTTTAAAGAAGCAAGAAAATTTCCAAAACTTACTTTAAAGCAGCTGCCTAATATTGGCTACTTGGAGCAAACATTAGGTAATATGCTCACAGAAGCGTGTTGTTCTGTAAATGTAGTGAGACCTAAGTATCCAGGTCTTAGTTTCCAAACATCTGCGTTGATTTATATTGCATTGTTCCTGAAGACCCACAACCATCTCACATCTAAAAACATCAAAGAAATGTATATTAAATGTTTAAAAATATTTGAAGCCAGATGTAAATTGATGTTAAGTGTAGGACTACGCTTAAGATCAATGGATAATCCGTTTGCGACCTACCCTAAATGTCACCATAGAGAACCGACCCTTCATCCGCCCCACCAAAGTGACCCGTACTTATCTTCATCGCTTATACAGACACCTTCACTTTTGCTTCAAAGAACGTCAAATTATGTTCAAATACACAAGCCTTCGTTCCTTACTGCGCAAAAGGTACGTTCGGGGATAAGTAGTCAAATGGAAAGAGACTAAATAAACTAAGTAAACGAGTATAATATTAAATACACATATAATTGGGTAGTTTCCAGGGTTACAAATTAAAAATCTAATTAGTCCGTCAGTTAGATAATTAAAAAATATTAAAAACAGCCAAATCGGTCTAGCTGTTATGGCGTGACAACGGGAACGGGTTTCATTTAGATTATATATAAATTAACCCGTCGTTTGTCTAAAGGCGGAACAACGTGAGACACAATATATTTTCTGTTGTGTGTCATATACCTATAGATGAATGCCGATTCAAGCTGTTAATCGGATATTTATTTCTTAAGCTCAAATGCTTAAAGCATAATGGTCAAGGTCTTCACCTGATATAAAAATGGGCCGTTTATCACAAGTTAATAACCTTATAATTATGTATTAGGTAATTTTATTTTCGAAAATATTCTGAGAGTTAAGTTCTGTGTTTTAGTTTGAATGTTCCCTAAAGAAGAAGTTTAATTTTTTCGTTATTTATAGAAACGTTTTGCTGAAACAATTTGGTTTATTATTATTTCATTTTGAATTTTACTCCATTTGAAATAGCATGAGAAATAGCTACTACCCTTTTTACAATACTATTAAAAAAAAATTACAGCCAATTGATTTTCGCCTCTATTACATTGCTATTGTGATAGCATTATAAATGTGTGTTACTGGACACTGGCCGTATAGTCGACAAGATCGTTTTTGGAGACTCGTTTGCCAAAGAAGAAAAAGAAATTTGTGTGTTGCTAATATTTATGCTACTCAATAGAAAACCTTAAAACCCACGCAATGAATACCAAAATCCATTGCTAGGTCTAATGTTATTTTAAGGGGGTTATAGTTTAGTTGTATTTTAATTACTTGGTATGTAGTGATTAGAAAGACGCCTGTATTAATAAGATTTAAAAAGACGTCTAACCTATCTTGGTTTAATAATAATTATATCCTTTAGATTAATAAATACTGTCTAAAAAGTTAGTTTTTCATTTATGGGCTATCAAGAACTTACTATTTTAAGGTTAGCATCGTATTAATTTCATTAAAATAAAATGATACAAATGTTTTTATAATTCATACAGATGTATAATGGTGTTTTTCTTTCCAGCACGTAGGGTACCAGTGCCAGACGAGCGTTTTGACTACCTCTGTGAGTTCCACAAACCAGTCAGGTGAGGAAATATTTTCACAAATGACTTCGAACTTAAACAACGTATAAAACATAAACCAGTCTAAGAATTTAGGAAACGTCCAATAATACTTTGCACAGTCCCCTTACCCCCATACAAATACAACAATATTTACACTACTACCAACGAAGAATATAACCAATATATTTTTTTGTTTCCAGCAAAGTGCCAGCATTTTTAAACGTGGTGGACATCGCCGGTCTCGTCCGTGGAGCAGCTGAAGGTCAAGGTCTTGGAAACGCCTTCCTATCACACATTAAAGCCTGTGATGCCATCTTCAATCTATGCCGTAAGTATATTGTTTTAAGATTTATTATTCTTCCAATACTTGCTGCTTATCAGACATAAGTCCCTTAATGGAGCCTTATATTAGAAACGGTGTAATGCAAAAAATATACCATATTACTATACATATGAGTTTGAATTTGCCTTACCGATATTTTTTATAAAATAAATCTAATTTAAACCTTACCTAAAAAGTAATAGAAATAATTTTTAGGTGCCTTCGACGATGAGGACGTTATCCACGTGGACGGTGAAGTAAATCCAGTTAGAGATTTGGAAACTATTGGAGAGGAACTTCGGTTGAAGGATGAAGAGCAACTGATGCAGAACTTTGAGAAACTTGATAGAGTCGTCAATCGAGGCGGGGATAAGAAACTGAAACCTGAATATGTAAGTCTTTTATGAATATTGGAAACCCCAGAAGGACCTACTCTACTTGTAACTCTGGTGTAACATAAGACATTTACTGCTGAGCATAAGACACGCCCAATTGCTTCCAGATCAGCCGGTCGATCCTACCACTTTAAGTATAAAGTAGTAACTTTTTTACTAGTTCACGGACTTTTCCTAAAATTTAATGTGATCCTAAAAATTGGGTCTGAAGAAAATAGTTTTACTGTTATTTCATACTTTTGGATGAGTAGCAAATAAATGATAAATTATATTACCTACTTATACCAGTTCAATAGATCTGTTTTGAGTTCGTGTGGAAATAAACACCGAATTTGAAGTGAAGTACTATATATACTATATAAGCATTTTTTTACTAATAAAGTCGCTATACTATGTTCCAGGACGCGCTGACAAGAATCAAAGCTATACTAGTTGATGAAAAGAAACACATTCGTTTCGGAGACTGGAGTGCCGCTGATGTAAGTACTTTTATTTAATTTTGTACCTTATTCACGCAGCATAGAATTCAGTGTAGATAAATTGCGTCCTCTTTCAGTCAAATATAGACTTTATGCGTTAGTTTATACGTTTATGCTCCCGTGATTTTTTTTTGCTTATATTTTTCACAATAACACAAATGTAATAATTATTATCGATTGCCGCGTTGGCTGAGTGGTCGCAAGTACGACTGCCAAGTAAAGGTTCTCGGGTTTGATTCCCAGGTCGGGCAAAGTATTACTGGTTTTTAAAAAACGTCTCAGTATGAGCACGGAGTCTGGAATTGTGCCCGGTATGTGGCAATAGGTTCACCCCCATTACATGGAACTCTTAAACCAAAATAGTGAAAAGTGGGTGTTACATTGTACAGTGGCATTAAGTGCCGGAATGTGCACCTCGGCTTTATCCTTCGGGGATAAAAGGCGTGATGTTATGTTGCTTATACGTTTATATTTACGTGAAATTTGTTTTTGCGTATGTTTTTCACAGTAATAATTATTATTACAGATAGAAGTACTCAACAAATACCTCTTCCTGACATCGAAGCCCGCTCTCTACCTCGTCAATTTGTCAGAGAAAGATTACATCCGAAAGAAGAACAAATGGTAAGTTATAATTGCCTTTAGAAAGTAAAATCTCTAACCAAAATCGAACCTTATTACCATAGATAGAAAAGCTAGTTTTGTGTTGAATGATTGAACACTTTCCTGTACAAACAAAAATAAACTTAATCTGTTAATAATCACAGTAGATTTTTTTTAATAATATGAATGTAATTAAGATTGGTTCACATTTAATTGACCTTCCATGTATGTTAGTAATTACAATGCCCAAAATTATATAATACGCAAATGTTTGGTTAATGAAAGCATTTTCTTGTTTTAGGTTGCCCAAATTAAAAGAATGGATCGACAAAAATGACCCTGGTGCGCCGCTTATACCCTTCTCCGGTACATTGGAGATGAAACTGCTCGAAATGGAGCCAGCAGAGCGACAAGCTTTCTTGAAAGAAAACAACCTTACAAGGTAACAATCCTATTACAGTCCACTGATTTGATTGCACGGTTGGGGTGTTGGCTGGGCAACCGCCTGCCGCGGAACGTCTTCGATTCCCGCACAGAGCAACTGTTTGTGTAATCCACAAATTGTTGTTCCGGGTCTGGGTGTCACGTGTATGTGATATTATATGTATTGTAAACGCACCCACGGTACAGGTGAAAATCCTAGAGTGGGGCAAAGTTTAAAAAAAACGAACTGATGGACTTCTATACGGATATACTATGATCAACCATATGGATCTGCCGTACCTTTCTCAGTCCCCGTTTAGTGCTTGCCCTTTAGTGAGATCTTTACGATAGAAATTAAGAACTGATTTCAGTATAAAATCTTTGGATTACGAATATTACGATAGATTTCGATATACTATTAAATTTCTACCGATACATAGACCCAGTATTTGGAGAAGATCGGTTATTCATTTGGGTTGTTAGGAAGAAAGAAAGAAAAAGCATTTATTTGACAGTAGGCACGCACACAGATACAGAAAAAATAATAGAAAATTAAGAAAGAAAAGGAAAATAAACAAAATATTATCAACCCTTACGACACAATTCAGTAAATATTTCTTTATAGATAATTAATAAGCATTATTTTACTTCTCGAACAGTGCATTGGACAAGATCATCGTTCAAGGTTACAAAGCGCTGCAGTTGGAATACTTCTTCACTGCTGGACCTGATGAAGTTAAAGCTTGGACTATCCAGGTAAAGTATATATTATTTTAACTCAACGCGCGCGGTTTTTGTATAGTGACTATCGTAAAACATACTAAATTAAACCACGCTCTAATGAGTGAATATGGGGCCCGGTCTGACTTCAAAGTATTAGAGTTTCTCTCGAATACCTAACGCTGTTATTTTATAAGCGACGATGGAAGCTGTTCATTAGTAAATTTAAGTATTTTTTTGTATAATTAACAGAAAGGCACGAAAGCTCCGCAAGCAGCCGGTAGGATTCACACAGACTTCGAAAAAGGTTTCATTATGGCTGAGGTGATGCATTACAAAGACTTCAAGGAGGAGGGCACTGAGGCTGCTTGTAAAGCGGCCGGCAAGTACAGGCAACAAGGTAATTTATATAACAATCTATTTTTCTGCGAAGGAAAAAGCAGGAAGAGATATTTCCTTGCTTTTTTTTAAAGTGCTATCTTAGTTTCTCCATCGAATCATGGAACCCTTAAGCCGGTAAACCAGATTATTCCAAATTTTCTCGGCTTATTCACCTATTATTTTGACATTAAGCTAAAATCATCACTATCAACACATACGTTTATATTAAAACTTCCGTGAGACATACTAATTAATTATTATGTTTTCGACGTACTGACGTAACCGTTTGACAAAGAACTCGACTAGTTTCAAGCCATGGTAGAGGCTAATGAATGCTGCTCATATGATTATCATATGAGCAGCATTCCGCGACCCGCGATGCGGCGACAGAAGCAGCGCGACAGTAACTAGTCGAATACCTCGTCGAAAAGTTACGTGAGTAAGCCGAAAACATAATGATTACCAACACATACACTGGAAAACAACCCTTATTCCTACAATATTAAGACCATATCTGCAAACTTGTAAAGTTTAGAATCTTAACTTGGTCCATTACTATTCCAGGTCGAAACTACGTAGTTGAAGACGGAGACATAATCTTCTTTAAGTTCAACGCTGGCGCTGGGCTAAAGGATGCGAAGAAGAAATGACGTGACAAGGTACTTCTACTGTTGGTACATCTGTTGTACCTAAACCTCGTCTTGTACACACTGCTACACGTCGCTTAAGAGTACTCTAAGGATTTTCTACCTAATATTTATAACCACATAATAAATTATGTATCTGACTAAATGAAGCTTGTTAATGTTTGTCAAATTAAATTTATTTGGAACATTAATTGTGATAATACTTATTATTGTTACATATTATATTACTTCGACAAGTTCTTGAATGCGCGTCACTTTGTGTGTGTTATCTATGTCTTCGTTTTCAAGTATTTCTGTGAACATTTTGTCTAGTATCATTCGTAGTTGCTTGAGGAATCGCTTTAAGTTGATATGTGATAGAATTCCTTGTTCCGTTACGGGAGCTAACTTCTCTTTGTCCTTCTCAGTTTTCTTAAACACGTTGTTTAATATGTAGGACATTGCTTGAGTGACCGCTTCCTCCCATTCCTGGCAACACACAAATATTTATTTGCAAAATATATCACACTGGCTTTTGCCTGCTTAAAAAATGGGTTTAGTAATTAGGTGTACAAGTGCAACAAACAGATTTACTCACTTGGTAGTCTTCATATAATGAACTGAGAGACATCATTTCTTCTATTAGCGTCACCTTGAGCTCATCTCTAGTAAATTGCTTCAATAAATAGATTATAAGATTGCCCACTGCTGATAAAGCGCTTCCAGCTCTGTAACAATAATTATTTGAGTCGACCAATTCTTTACCTACCTTATTTCTAAAAGCAAAAAATACATATTTAAACCTCGTGGCAAAAAAACTCATAAAATTAAGTACTTAACACACCGAAATTCAATAAAGTACTAAAAACAACAATAGGAAACCTGATTTGCGTAAAAAATTAGAAAATGTTCCAAAATGGAATCAATTTATTAATTCTATTTATTGTCTTTTTCAATTGAAAATCCGTAAAAAAGTAAAATTTATTTTTTAAATGACCTTCAAATAAGCACTGTTTCTGCTCACCTGCACACAGCCTCTTTACAACTGATTATTTCATGCACCACTGTGACCAAACGCAAGTGTGTATCCTTCATCAGGAACTCCAAAGGATCGCAATCTCCAGGTGGTAGGGATCCGTATTGAACCAGGAGCCTCTTTTGAACCACTATAAACTGCTTCTGAAGGACATTCAGCTCATCCTAGTAACATATAAAAGAGATAGAAATATTTGTTTCCCACAAATTTAGCTCATACCACAGTGATACCAAAATTGGTACAGCGGTTTAAGTGTTAAGATGTAACAAACAAGCTCAATTTCGTTTTAATTTTGAAATTTCTTATAAGTAATCAAAGATTTTGGTCTCAAAGTTACCTCCAATTCTTTTAATTTATTCCGTTCCTTTGCATGTGTTTCAACGCATTTCAAAAACTTGTGAGTCAATTGCCTAACAAACTCTTTGTCATGTTTTATATTGAATCTGAAATCTTTGACGCCCATGCGCATATTGTGGTCTATGAGTTTAATAAGAAAATGGTCCAACACAGCAGTTATTTCAGTAAAATCGTCAGCTTGTACTAAATATTGTTCGACTTCACTTTTCAACGTTATTGTTTGTTTGGTCGATCTGTACGCCAAGGTTACGGTACTGCCGTATTTTCTTAGTTCGTCTTCTGAGAAATCTGTCAAAAAGATGATCAAATTCTATTCATCAATTCTTATAAACTTTCAAATTAACATAAGTACAATTTCCTAAAAGAATTACCTGTAAATATCTTGGAGAATTCAATGCAAGCGTTGTTAGGCTGAATGCGCAATTTATATCGGCCTTCAGCGCCATTCTCAACTGGCGTACAATAAAGACTCAATGGCAACAATACTTGTCTATTAAACACTTCTATTTTCCCCATACTGTCGGTAGCTGTTATTAGAATATTCACTCTAGTATCAGAAATATCAGCTTCACCAGTAAGGAATACTTGGTTTTCTATAATTTCTGTTCCATTCACGCTGTCTAAACAAATCGTGGAATCGGAACAAGAGAACGGAGAAGCACACACGTAAGACACTTGCACGCTTTGAATAGACTTGGGATCTTCACACGTTAGTATCAAAACTACTGGACACATTAACAAGTGTAGCGCCTCATTCTTTTCATTTGCAAATTCTTGAAACAAATTCTGCACCGGTTTCCCCACGTCTGCTTTTATTTTGAGTATTTCTTCTATTGAGGATCTACTGTTGTCTACATCTAAAACAAATATTTGCTAATAATGATAAGATTGAAATAAAAATAGTTTTAAAATATTATGCCGTTTTTTTATAGTCCTACACCTAAGAGGCATAAAGACCAAAGTACATTTTTACAATTTAAAACTTTGCCTCTTAGATACAAAGTATATTTTTCCATTCACCTTCGTTATTGTTTAGTATTTTACGCAATGAATCTTCAACTGTTTCTAGTTCTTTTTGTACTTGTTCGGGGTCGGCGACTTCGTTCATCATCGGTGGGGCGGTTGAGTTGAGATCAGGTTCTGTTCCTAGGTAACCAACATTCACGATTCCGTTCACAGAAAGTGTGACTAGTCCGCCAGGTAGAGATTTTAGAAAGCATCTCGATATAGCTATAGCCGGGCTTAGTAGCGAACAGCTCCATAATAAAGTAGTTCCTTCGTAAATGTATAGTTTTGAATCTTCTGACGTTACCATCACGAGTAATCTGGCACCAGGTTCTGGGAATAATGAGAAACATTAGTTTAATGAAGGCCTGGTATCGTACTTAGACGTGTTTATAAAATCATGTAAGGGTAGCTGCGCAGTCATCATGTTACCTTAGGAAACAAATCAAGAATAGAATCACCACTTCAAGAGATGTGGGGTGCAGGAGAAAAGAGTTTGTATAAAACGTAAAATGTTGACATTGAAGATACCAAATTCGGTTGATTTAAATATTCCCCAAGCCTCAACGAGACTAGTAAATAAACGTTTCGAAGAGAACTTACCGTAATACCAACCAATGAGGTAAGCACAGAAGCAAATCGGTATAAAATCGAATTTAATCATGTACTTCATCAGTCCATTGTCTTGAAAACAGTAGATGTGCCTCTCGCCTAATGCTACAATACTGGAAAAGTTGTTGCTGGTCTGTAAAAGAAAACCTTACATTATTTTCAAGGCTAAAATACCGAACTAGATGTAAATAATTATATTTTATTTATTTAAGCTTCATGCACAAAGTGTACATAAGGTGGACTTCTCCCAGTCTGACCTTTGGGTGATGCAGAGAAGAGTTAATGGTGTGAGCAAGAAGCAAGCAACTATTTAATTGAGCAATTAAAATAGATACACTTACATATTTCAGAGATAAACTTAATTATATTATTAAGGTGAGTACTTCAAACATTGCAAGGAAATTAAATAGTTTTACGAGACTACTCGATTAGTTTCAGATCACACTGGGAGCTTTATAATCGTTAGCAGTAGCAGAAGCGCGGCTAGAACCTGATAGAAAAAAGTTTCCACCTTCGATCCCTGAACATCTAATATTCATTTATTGACGGCAAAATTCTTAATAGTAGTCCCAGCTTATACGAGTACTAGGTGGGTAGGACAGTTTACCTGAATAACTTGCACTCGAGTAATTTCTTCGCCTGCATTATAAACCCACTGTGGGATGTTCTTCTTATTCTGTCTGATAGTCAACTCACTAAATTCCCTGAGTTGCTGATAGCTACAAAATGTACAAAATATAATTCTTGAGCCATACGTTCAATACTTACTACAAGTTGAAAACATATTTTCTACGACTGAATTTGCAATTCCTATCTATTTGGTTTCCAATTTTCTAAACGCTATAGTAGGTACCTAATAGATTTGTAGTGCTGAGATAAAGCTATAAATAAACAAAGTTTCATTAATGTGAATATTTTATCTCAAATATACTATTTTTTACACTCATGGTCAGAAACAATCAATAGTGCAATAATTATAAAATATCAAATGTTTAAATGACCATAGACTTTCGAATTCCGGGGAATTACGTTCGATATTTTTTAATAAATGTGTAAAGTACCTTTAAAGTAATAATATTATTATTCATGATGCAGATCACTACATTATTATACATAAAAATAAAATTAAGGAAAAATCTACCTTAGTAGGTACCTACCTATTAAGTAATATTATTATCAATGCGGAAAAAGTATCAAAGAGGATTTTGTAAAATTATACGGCGCGAAAATCGAAAAAGTAGGCAGGCATCTACCTACCACCTGCGGGAATGCAAAGTAGCAGCGGACTGAAGTAAGGTACTTATACTTAAAACCCATACATATTTCATATAGGTAAGTCAATATTCAGGAATACAAATAGGCAAGTATTAAAATTTCTAGGTTTTTGAGTAACTATTGATTGAATAGTTTCGGGTTTATATCCCGAATCGAGGAAAGCAGCTCTTGGATTTTTGGACTGCCAAAAATCTTTAACCTACGTAAGTACTTGGTAATAAAATTACTTAATTACCTGTATATTTCTAACACCCACGTAGATTTACAAATGACGAAGGAATCGCAGCTCGCAATGTAACAAACAGGCGATGGTATTATGACGTCACTGAATATGCACATAAACAGGAACGTGTCTTGATCGAAGAAGCTCAGGCTGCCGTCCAAACCTTGGATGCAGATGAAATCCCTGGTCTTTATGTTCCCAAATGGTCCACATGTTAAACTATCTGCTTTTCTTGTAAATGAATGTTTTATAACAGGTGTGAGATAGTTTTGATCACCTGCGAGGTATAAAAAGATTTTCAGTAAATATCAATCACATCGTTCCTTAATTTCACATTTATTTCTGTGTAGACTGAAGGTCTAGCCTATATGGGCTCATAGAATACGCTTTATTTACTTATACAAAGCTCGGGATTATTTTTATAATACTTATTTAATGATTGAGAATTAAGAAGGTTGTACTATTTAATCAGCTACACCGAATAAATAAGGAGTTTTGGGTTCGATTGCCCAGTCCAACAGAGTGTAATTGGTAACTAATAATGTGCAAAATGCGTGACTTTATGTTGTGTACTTATTAAAGTGTGGTCAATTCACATGAACACAATAATTTATGTTAAGTAGGTATGTGTATCTTTTGCTTACCAGCTTCCATATGCCCTTCTTTTCTTTTGAGGTGGTATATTTCATAACTTTGTGGATGCAACACTAATATTTGTCGATCTTCAAAGTTTCTTTAAAAAAACAAAGAGGTTTAATCAGTACCTACTTACTTACTTAATACCACAGACACGATTTAACTGCACAGTTGGCGGAGTAAAAAGTGATAATGGCATTTTCTGAGTAAAATGACAATTAATAGCCCGGAGTCAGGAAACTTCCTGACTCCGGGCTATTGAAGGTGAAACACCGCTGAACTCAGCGGTGTTTCACCTCGGTGCTTTGGAAAGCACATTGGTCCTGCGCCTAATCTCTCTCCGGTCGTGTCGGTCTGCCGTCCCATCTCGTTCAGAAAGTGAGGGAACAGAGAGTGCACCAGAGTTTGCGCACACACTTGTGCACTATAATATCTCCTGCGTAGTGGGCTAGTCTAGCCACCATGATTGAAATCGATCGGAAGATTTATTTATTTTTATTTATCACAGACACAGGTGCCTAACGTGCACCAGAGTTTGCGCACACACTTGTGCACTATAATATCTCCTGCGTAGTGGGTTAGTCTAGCCACCATGATTGAAATCGATCGGAAGATTTATTTATTTTTATTTATCACAGACACAGGTGCCTAACAGAAGCTCGCTAATTAAGATAACTTACCCCGTAAACTTGCCAGTTTCAATTTGCAACACTACATCACTCAACTGAGATTCTAATAAAATCTGTGAAGACGATTCCTCGGCATTCGGTTTGTATATTTTCAACAAAGCCCCTTCAGCGACCAGAATACAATCGCTTTCAGAATGCGAATTAAACTTGTCCACTTTCAAACAGTTCGCGTTTTGATTTCCTTCATTTGTCTCTTCATTTTGCAATTTATCGTTAGACCACCACTGTTTTACTTTGAAAATGGACATATTTAACTATAAAGTTTACAATTACCGCAATTTGCAATTTCTACTGTGTCGTTGCCATGGTAACAGGTTTGGTAAACAAATCGAGCCAAGTACTTGCTGTTGCTATGAGAATCAAAGTGAGTAAGGTAAGTAGGTAGATAGTACCTACGTAGATAACATCTAATTAGGTAATCTAATAGTACCTAGATTTTTTTAATGTAATGGCCTCTAAATATTGTTTTTTTTAGAGGTTAAGTAGTTACCTAGGTCACGTAAAATCCATATATTAGGTAGGTAGGTACTTACATACTCCGACCAAATATTATAACATTTCAAATTCTAATGCAATATTTAGAAGTTTAGAAGTCCTTTAGAAAGATCCTTAGATAGGTACCTACTGACTGTCCTCTTTCGTTCTATAAACAAACATTTTAGGGGAATTTTAGAAAAATATTCGTAATATCATTACGCTTCACCTGCTTATCGCTTATACTTTATCTCTATAGGTAGGTACTTATTATGCTCTTTGGTACCTAATAGCTTCCTATTTGTCACTTCTTGAGGTGATTACATGTCGTAGCTAATCATATTCTAAAGTAGGTATTATTAAGGAAGGTATTGTAATAATATGTTATTTTTTTTATTTTGAAACAGAAAAATACATAGCCAATGAAAAATTATATTCAAAAATATTGAGAAATCACACACTTCACTACTGCGAATACGAATACCTAATATTTTATCATCCTAAGTACTCTCTGATATAGAGTTGTAATTGCACAAAACTTACGAAAATTTAAATTTCGCGGGCTAGCCTGAAGTCTTCACTTAAAACCACACAATAATTATGTGGTCAAACTGTAGTTTAAAATCAACACTAATTCGTTACAACTGTTTATATGAACATATCATTATAAATTAATCATACAAAAAATTATAAGACGAAGTATTTCACCATATCACTATAGTATTATGTAATTTCAAACTATATATTTATTAGTATTATATTTTGGGACACTTTTCTGATTTACGTAGAAACCCGTCACATTCTATAAAACGCAGTATGATATCTCTTTCTATCTCATTCCGTGCTTTGATTTGAAGCTTCGAAGTTGTTTGTGGTTTGCGAATTGTTAGGAATTGTTGATGGACTTGACAGAACGTTTTGCTTTTGACTTTTTGATTGTCACTGTTTTCGTGTTTGTGTGATTGCACGGACCACAAGTATTTCGGCGAATTTGGTGATCGTGTAGTGACGTACAATTGATGCAAGTTTACTGTTAAATAAATATAAAGTTATTTTATTTTACTTAATCGTCAAACGGATAGACAATTATCAAAATGCTGGACGGAAAACAAGACAATGGAAATGTTGATAGTGTTGATACTAAACAAAGAACCAACGGTGGTGGCGATGAAGGCGACGCACTGGGCAGTCACAATTCCTCGCAACCCAGCCGTATTGCCAGGATGCCTGTTGACAGAAATGCCCCTTATTATAACATGAACCATAAACATCGTGGGATGGCCATTATTTTCAATCACGAGCATTTCGACATTCACAGTCTAAAGTCGCGTACTGGCACAAATGTAGACAGCGACAACCTTTCCAAAGTTCTTAAAGGTTTGGGATTCAAAGTGACTGTGTTCACTAACTTAAAATCAGAAGAAATCAATAAATATGTCCAGCAGACTGCAGACATGGACCATTCTGACGCTGACTGTTTACTCGTTGCTGTTTTAACCCATGGGGAGCTAGGAATGTTGTATGCCAAAGATACTCATTACAAGCCAGAGAACCTGTGGTACTACTTTACTGCTGACAAGTGCCCCACTCTGGCTGGAAAACCTAAGCTGTTCTTTATTCAAGCTTGCCAAGGTGATAAATTGGATGGTGGTGTTACTCTGAGCCGCACTGAGACAGATGGCTCACCTTCTGCTTCCTATAGGATTCCCGTACATGCTGATTTCTTGATTGCATTTTCTACTGTACCTGGATACTTCTCTTGGAGGAACACTACTAGAGGTTCTTGGTTTATGCAGGCCTTATGTGAAGAGTTACGCTATGCAGGAACGGAGAGGGACATCCTGACATTGCTAACATTTGTGTGTCAGAAAGTAGCTCTAGACTTTGAGTCTAACGCTCCTGACTCAGCGATGATGCACCAACAGAAACAAGTTCCTTGCATCACCAGCATGCTTACACGCTTGCTTGTGTTTGGTAAAAAGTAATCCCACTGATATGCCGTGTTGTTGTTCTGTACCTATGTTAGGTATTCAAATGTCTTGTTAGCTATACTTATACAAATGTAATATGGAAGGAAACTATTCTTTCTTGTCTAAATTAGAAAATAATGTTCAATGGCTGTTCAAAATGTTTTAATTGTAGATGCATTTTAACATTTCTTTTTGAGATTAATTTTGGTTCTGCATTTTTTATATGATTCATAATTATTTGGTGTCCAAGTAAAATAATGGTGGTTGTTAGATGTAAATTGTAATGCATTGTCACAAGTTATGTAAGTAGTAGTACTTTCGTATTATGTACTAGTGATATAAAGTTTAGGTAATTAGAAAAGATGTATTTTTTGCTCATTTTCGTAATAATGAGTGCACAAACTTTAAAATTAAATTATATTTCATAATATGTATTTGCTCAATTAAAGAATAAAGGAAAATACACTCCCAGCCATATGTTTGAAAAGTATTCGACGGATTGTAAGTTTTAATACAAAAATGTTTGAGATTATATTTGTAAAGTACTTAATAGTAAATAATTTGTAATCATGAAGTAAATGAAAGAACAGACTGAAGAACATGAACAAAGGAATCAATTTCTATAGCAACTGTACATATCATGAATGTCATACATGTTTATGTTTCTTTTAGGATAAACTTGTGTTATAATAACTAATAAATTTATTGAGCTATTTAAAGATCTGATATCAACAGTGTTACCTAGTTTTGTTGTTTTAAGTTTTTTTTGAATTATTCAAACCTGTAGGCAGACCACCTATGTTAAGACATTTATTTTTAATAAGAGCATTTAATTGTTGTATTAGTTGTTAGTAGCACAATAACAATTTCTACCAATTTTACACTAAGTTAGTTTTCTTTTTATTTTTTTGTGAGCTGGCTTGAATGAAAATGTCTAGTATTGCATGCCCAAGTGTCATAATAAAAGTTTTAATTACAATATGTTTTAATATCAGTAATGCATTATATTATATAAGTAATGAAATAATAAAACTTGAATATTAAATTTTGGATTCAGGTATGTGATAATGGCATCAATTGACTGATTTAACTTTAGTGTGAAAAAGTATCTGTGAGGAGTTAATTGCCATGGATTTATATTAGAAATAATAATATTTTAGTTATTGATATATTAAAATTGTGCCTTGTCCAACTGTAAAATTATTGTAGAAACACAGCTAAATGATGGATCTTTATTAGTATTCTAGCTCTCCTCATAGACTTTTGATGCAATGATATGAGTGGTTTGTATTTTTTATAATAAATGCTTATATTCTACCGTAAACTATAAGCAATAAATTCTTCCATTCTCAATGTGTGTTTTTCTTTTATTATATTATATTTATTTATACATAATTAGCAAACACTTTCTGTTTCTTAGCTGAAGATCACACGTTAAGTGTGACCTCTAGACACGATATCAATGGCACGTCATCGCTTACCATCAGGCGATCCATCTGCTCGTTTGCCTCCTACTCCATAAATAAAGTCATACAGTTTGAGTGCATAAGTTTAATAGAGATATTGATTTGAATTAATGTAAAGTCATCAAAATGTCCCATCCTGCCCTAAGCGGGATGGAAGGGTTTGTCAGACTTTTTTTATGGTATATGGCGATAAACGGAGAACAGCAATCGGTGTCGCCCATGTGTCACTCTCTGGCCTGGCCACCATCAGAGATTTTAATTTTGATAACACAAAAAAAATAATCGAAATTAGTAGCCAAATATCAGAAATAGTCGTTCACAAGTTTACAAGTTATAAAGGTTTATAGGTGGCCGAGCTGGGGAGTCTCCCCAGGTCGGCCACATGTATATCTCGAAAACTAGGGCACCTAGTAAAGATCTGTTTTTACAAAAAAATAGTCACGCCACGAAAAAGGGAACTGTACCGCCCAACTACAGAAATAATTTCAATTCCATTCCTGAAAGAGCAGAGGTGGAATTAACACAAAATTCTTTTCTTTTTTTTAAAAAACGTTGCCCCACACTAGGATGTTCTCCTGTGTTGTGGGTGCGTTTACAAACATACAATTTCACATACACATGACACCCAGACTCGGAACAACAATCTGTGAATCACACAGAGAGTTGATCCGTGCGGGAATCGAACCCGCGCCACGTTGCGCAGCAGCCAGTTGCCTAGCTACCGCGCCAACCGTGCAGTCGAATTAACAGTGTTGAGTTATGCTGTTTACTGTTGAACAAATAAACAGTATGAAATAATATACTATTTTCAACATCATCATCATATCAGCCACTAGACAAACTTTCGCATTTATAATATTATAAGTAAGATAGCAACACTAACAGCTGCGCGCGCGACGTACTTCCCCAGTTCCCCACGTCAAATGTACAAATTATTAAATGAATTACGTCATCTGTATCTGGATATAAATGTCTTATTATAGTGATGGCTCGGTCAGTTGTTGATTGCCTTTTGAACGGTGCAGTGCATATTAAAATTTAGGACCTTATTTATACCTAATTCTCTATATTTAATTGAACTAGTGTGAAATAGGTATCGAAAATGACAAATAGCAGCAATAATGGAGGACGAATCAGCTGCACTGACTCATTGAATTCATATAAAAATGAATTTTACCACATGAACCACAAGTACCGAGGTAAAGCCATCATTTTTAGTCATGATAGCTTCGATATCGATATCCCACCACGAGCCGGTACTCGAAAAGATTGTAATAACTTAGACGAATGCTTAACAACGTTGGGATTTGATGTCAATATATTTCATAATTTAAAATACACAAATATTATGAAACAGATTAAACAAACAGCTGAGGTGAATCACTCCGAACACGATTGTCTACTCGTCATGGTTTTAAGCCACGGACATTCGGGATTGCTCTATGCCAGAGATACCCACTACAGAGCGGAAAACCTGTGGAATCCTTTTATTGATGCAAAATGTCCCACGCTTGCTGGTAAACCAAAGTTATTCATGTTTCAAGCGTGCCAAGGTGAAGAATATGATAACGGAATTACACTACAACGAAAGATAGAGACAGATGGCTGGTATGAACCTCATAAAATTCCAAGTCATCCTGATTTTCTACTTGTACTTTCTACTGTACCTGGATATTTCGCGTGGAGAAATTCTGATCATGGATCCTGGTTCATTCAGGCACTTTATGAAGAGTTAACCTACACAGCAGAAGATCCTATTGATATTTTGACTCTATTAACTTTTGTATGCCAAAAAGTTGCATTAAATTTTGAATCTAACACCTCTGAGGACGCTAGTAATTACAAAAAACAAGTTCCATGTTTTTCAAGTATGCTAACCCGTCGTTTAGTGTTAACAAGAAAACCAAATGGTAAATCAAGCAAGAGGGATAGTTTTTTTGATAGCTTTAACAAATATTTCAGTTCCTTTCAGTTTAAATAGTCCCTTTAAATTATAAGGCATGTACTTATATATACCTACACCTAGGTACCTATTTTGAATTTGTTATTTAGTTTGCACTTGTAGAAAATTAGAAATACCTATCGTAGATACATGCGTACCTAAGTAAACACGATAAGTTCAAGGTCGTTCAATTCAATCATTTCAACCTAATATAACAAAATGGCGACGGCCGGCGAAGTGACAAGGTGTTAGGTATGTCTACGTGAGGCGACTAGAATACCTAGTCGACTAGCTAGATATTTATATTTTTAAGATTTACGGCCAACAGACACTCATGTTTTAAAAATAATAACGTTGTAATGTTACTTATATTACCGGTACCTATATCTCCCTCCTATAGAAAACATTCGTCGCTTCATAACATAGGTAAGCAATTAAATTATGACCCAAGAAATTGAATCTGGGTGAGTTGTGTGACCCTACCAAGAATTATCTTTGGAATTAATTTCTCTTGGCATAGGCACCAAGACGGACCTTACGGTGTAGGTAATATAGCTAGGGACCTAGGTAAGTACTTATTTATTAGGTAAATATAATAATATAGTTAGTATTTAAGTATTTGTTACGTATAATTAAATAGGTACCTATTTTTGTGCCCAAATTACATTAAATTAAATTGTTTTTTATTTTTGTATGACATTCTTATTAAAATGTATTGGAAACATAAACAACATGTTGGTTTATTTTTAATTATCCTACCTACGCATTTATTTACCTATTCCCTAAAAGAGAACAAAATATTTAAACCTACAAATTACGTTATAGGCACTTAGCATACTGCGATTAATTTTAAGACTATAATGTTAATAAAAAAATTGGTTTGGTTGACTATCAAACCAACCTTTTATTAACATAAAGACCTACAAAACTCATCAGAGCACACCAATGTACTTACAATACTCATCCGTCAAATATTGGATAAGATTTTCCAACTGAGTAGATTAAAAGTAAAATAATCCTGCCTTACCATTAACCCATCGTGAGTCTAAACGTGGATCCACGCGAGACTATGTATTTTCTATTGTGTCTCATATCGGTGCATTCAAGCAGTCAATCCTCAAGTCTCTTGCCCCAAAAGGCATTAATAACTACTTTTGAGCTGCGGTTGTCCGTGAGCGGCAGCAATTGCTTGCCATCAGGTGATCTGTCAACTCATTTGCCGCCCTTAGAAAATCCATTTTGTCGTACTAAGTCGTTTGACTAGGTATCTCATTGATTGGGGGTCCTATTGCGTCGACTTTGTAGTGAAAGGAATAAGTGCTGCCATGGTAAATCCATAGTCACCCACGGAGTCTGCAATTATACCCGTTGTATGGCAATAGGCTCCTAGCTCACTTCCCATTTCATGAGACGCATGACTAAGGAACTGATGAAAAGTGAGTGACGCATTTTTTGTGATACCTATATTTTACCGAGCAAGGGGTCTCGGGTTCGATTCCCTGGTCGGGCAAAGTATTACTGCGTTTAAAAAAAAATCTCAGTAGTAGCACGGAGTCTGGAACTGTGCCCGGTATATGGCAATAGGCTCACCGCCTATTACATGCGACTCATAACATAAATAGTGAAAAGTGGGTGTTACATTGTGCAGTGGTATAATGTGCACCTCTGCCTACCCCTTCGAGGATAAAAGGCGTGATGTTATGTTACAAATAAAAATAAACATGTAGGCAAGTCACGTTAAAAGCATAAAACCACATTTAAAATAATAACATTAACATTCAATTAATAATATTTATCAAATGTGCCTAATGAATACATACTCTACGGCTCCTGAATGACCTATCACGGGTTTGTTGACATTATTATTATGGAATAATAAGGATAACGACCCTATAGTTGACCTTTGAATATACCTACATGGTTTAAATCTCATATTTACCGGTACCTACCTATTACCAATAAGTGGATATCCTGATGTACCTAGTAGATACGAACATTATTTTTCAAATGAATGAAAGTATAGCACACAGATAAGTGAATCACAAATATCTTGAGACAAACGAGGAAAATGTCGAAAAAATTAATACTTCGACGTCGATACTCGCTGGTGTCAGACTTCAGAGTGACGTGTTTACAAACAAAAATAGTAATTGTCCAGGACAAGTTTGTATCAGTTGGCAAGTTGACAACGCGGTGCGTGACCGCTGACCGTGGCATCTGTAGGTAGCTTACATAGGTATTTCTATTTACCGACACTGCTGCATATTTCAATTATAGCTGGCACGATAACAAATTGATAAACAAATTAACTAACTAGTAAAATTTTTGTACCTACTGAATTTATCTACTCCTGTATATGTGTACCGAGCACAAATCGTAATTTTTAACATTCGAACAAATTTTAAGTAAATTCTGCAATGCCTATCCTTATGTACTATATCCTTACTTATATTATAAATCGGAAAAGTGAGTTTGTTTGTTTGTTCCACTGTAACGCCGTAAATACTAAACCGATTGCTTTAAATTTTTGCAAATGTAAAGTTAGAAGTCCGGATTAAATAATAGGGTACTTTTTATCCCGGAAAAATTTGATATTCCCGAGGGAAAACAAAAGTATTGGTATAGATGGCGCTGTGTGATGCACACTAATGGCATACATGTAATGGCAAATATACAAAAACAACGAAAAGGAATTCATAAAATATATTCAACCAACAGTAATTATTAAATAACACGATATTTGGCTTATATTAACAGTCCTGCATTCGTGCCTTTTCTCTCATTTCCCAGCATTGATCCCAGAACTGACTGAGTCTTTGTTCTTGGTTTGCACAGAAATGTTTGAAGTCCCTTAGCATTCTCATTTGGAAGCCTTCGTCGCCCGTCGCTGGAGTTTGTGCAGACTTCCACTTTTTAGAGATCATGTGATTCCAGGACCAGAGGAAACCCATCTGAAATATTAGTAAGAAAACAAGATTTAAAAACAAAAGCAAGCTTTTGTCTATTTAGTATATTACTATGAAGTTATGCAAACTATCTATACGTGTATATTATGTCGTAGGATAATTTGATACCTCGAATCGACCAATCAGCGTTCTTATTTCATAACAGCCAGCGTTTTGTTTCGCAATCTTACTATAGTAACGAGTATTTTCGCAAAAATCCTGACTTTATCCAGTAAGATTTGATAATTTTTCGCCTATGTCTAATTATCCGCGTTTTCGCAAAACCCCTAGGATTTCCGCGAAGATTCGAAGTATCAAATTATTTTACGACATATACAAAACTACAGTTCAATCGGTTAAAGATATCTGCCTCAAAATTTTGTTGCAAGATTCCACTTCACACACATAATATTATTTTTATACATACATACATAAGAAGCTCATAAAAAGATAGAATGAGTTTCTGCCAGCACTTTCAGTAAAATGGGGTGAGTAGGGACAGAAAGGAGTGAATCGATACTATGAAGAATTTCTCAATATCTATTCTCCCCTCTTCTGTATCTATTCACCTCTCGATCTTTATCCCATTTTACAGAACTGAGTACTGACACGTATTTTGATACAATTAATACGAAAAATACATTTGATGAATTATTATTTTAAACAATAGCAACATACTTGAGAGATTATACCAAAGAGAACAGAAAATAATAATGAATGATGTATATCATACATAGCGGTGATAGACCGACAAGTACGCCGTACGATGATAATCGATGTCACCATTCCCCATGACGAGAACCTCGTGAAAGCTGAGAAAGATAAACAAATAAAATATCTAGACTTAGCTCACGAGGTTGTCGACATGTGGAATGTGGATTCGGCTCATTGTGCCCATAGACGTGTCGGCCAATGGGTTAATCTCTAAAAGCCTCGACATCCATCTCAGGAGGCTGGCGTTAGGTGGATGGATCAAGGGCCTGATACAGAAGGTAGTTCTCCTAGAAACGGCACGTATCGTGAGGAGGTTTCTCTTTCTGTCTCTGGAGCCCTAACCACCGGTAGCTTGGACCATGCTCCCGCTACTGGTCGGCTCCTATTATTTATATTTTTAAATATTATTTTTTATTGTGTAATTAGTATTTAAATATGTAATTTATAGAGAATTTTAAATAAATATATGAAAATAATACTGTGTTTCACATTAAATAGTGCTGTGCCAATCGATGAAAAAGGGTTTAATTTAATTATTATATCAAAGTTAAATTATGTGCTAATTATACTGGCAGTAACATAACCAGAAGTGGTCAAAAGGCGGACAGGTGACATGATACCTTTATCATCGACCCACGCTATTACGGAATAGGAATATGTAAACATATTAAATAGTTGTTGCCATGTTTACGAGGAAAAGCTTCGAAATGATTTGGCAACATTTTTGTTTGCGCTTGGGAAAGCCCCAGGGAAAGTAGAAAGCAAAAAAATTGGTGAAAAACATGTTTTTTTACAATAAATAATTTTATTTATTGCTTGCTCGCACATACATGCTGTATCGTAAATTTTCAAAAATAAATTTCTAGTTGGTATTTTGGGAAATGTTTCACAGGAATAGCGTTTACCAGCTGTTTTACTTGAGGACTTTATTTATAAATGTTTTATCGTTCCTGACGTGAGATAGTGTAATTTTTGGAAAATGCTGTATGGCTTCTCGCTTAAACTGTCAAACACCAAGCGGTCACCGGTGACCGCGACCTATTGTTCTTTAATTGTGTCTATAAAACCGGTACTCGACGAGTTAAAACCGAATCTTTTAAACAAATTATATCTTTGTACGCGCTCCTTCAGGGTTGTTCCGGTGCATTTACTTTTTTTTTCATAGGAAGTATCATAACAATAACGAATGTAATAAAATTATTTGCTAAAGATAACATCTAATTTGGAGCATTCATTAAAGAGGTACAAATAATCTATTTCACACTTAGCTATAAGACGATTTTTATATATTTTGTATTTTTTTAGTGGGAAAAATCATAGAATGACTTCTCCAGCCTGGGTGAGGCGGTTTTTTGTTTTTAAGGGGGAAAATCATCGAAT